ACAGTAAGGCTACCCCACCCCCAGGAAACTCTCATTTCAATCCCACAGGGAATTGAGCCAACAAGGCTAATTTAAAGTGCTATGTATTTGTACGGACTGGGATAGGGATTTAGTCCTTGCAGAGGTAGCATACATTCACTGTGAAAAAAAAAAGTTTCTGCAAAAGGAATTTAGTTGGATAAATGGGAAAATGAGATTGGTAACCACTTGGCCACTCTGTTGCCCAGATGCATTAGACTATAAATTCTCTGGGATTGAGAAATAAAGTATAAAGTTCTTTGTGCTCTTAAAAACTTCCAAATGTTGGCCAATACATTTTAATTTTCAAATTATATAATAAATATTTAGCCTTAGACATGTATCGAATACATAGCATTGTGTTAATAGTACTTGATCTGTAAAGCTTCTGTTAGCAAGTCATTTACTAGCAATTGTATTACTTGTATCTGTCATATATCATACCAGCACTCTTCTTACCATTTTATTAGGAGCTAAGCAATTGTTAAGGAACAATCTGCAAAAAAATGTATCTAGTTCAGAGAATAGCTGCCTGTATCATGTTAGAGGGACAAGTGCACATTATTTCAGAGATCGTTTATTCACCGGTAATTTTATGACCGTGCTTCTACACGACCAATATTTTTCTCTACTTACCCATAATCGATTGTGTTCTTTTGCACAAGTGACAGTTATGTGGTTCAAAAATGTACTTATATCTAACTTACCACTGGAGAATATCGTTTTTCATTATCTGTTAATTGATTTTCTACCTGCTTTAAGATGCTTTAAGATTCTCAGTGGGGATGAGCTCAAAGCCCGGTCCAAAAACACATTTGGACCAAACTTTGGCTGTTCATCCAAATGACAATTTTTTTTGCTAGTAAGGCGGGAGCTGAATGCCATTATAATACAGGATTTTTATAGCACTAACAGTTTGTGCAGCACTTTACAATATTTAGGGAGACGTTACAGTTACAATACAATTCAATACAAGAGGGTTAAGAAGGTCTTGCATGTGAGAGCTTACAATCTCAAATATAGTAGCAGTTTTTCTATTGGTACTATAGTTGACAGGATCTTTCCTGTCAATGGTTGCTGAGGATGCAACATATGCAGACACCTGCCACATACTTAGAAACCAGTGGTGTCACTTGGCACCATTCAATTACTGAGCAGGTATCCCCAGCCATGTAAAAAAAGGCAGAGATACCATGACAATGACATCATCCTGGGGACACTGTCATTCATTGTGTGCTGGACGATGCGATTGATGATGACTGTTCCTCTTCAGACCTTTTTTTTTAGACAGTCAAAAACAGTGTAAGTGGCTTTATTTACTTTTTACTTTTTTGAGTGTATGAGTCGAGGCTATATTTGGGGGGCCTATTATTGTCAAAGGGGGGTTCCAAGCTAGGATTAGGGTTAAAAGGTCTCTTCCTGGCCTGCTAGGCTGCATGCTCAAATAAGGGTCCTGGTATAATTTTTTTGGGGGGGACTCATGCTTTTTTTTTTTTTTTTTGTGTATGTGGGGGGGGGGCTCCTCCTTATCATCAAGTTAACCCCAGACCCTCAAACATGGCTGTGTGACTGTGGGAGAGACTTTATTCATCTCATTTAATGCATTCCTACTCTCTCCCCTTAACCCCCTTTTCAGTTATTTTTTTGCCTTTCTTACTTTTGAAGATATATTAAGTAGGAGCTACAGAATTATGATAATACTAGCATGTTAATGCTTGCAGTATTTCATGTGTATGTTATTTACGAAATGGAAAAACATGCCCACCCTGCGTATTACTGCTAAAAACCCTAATTGTACATATACTATAAACTATGCACAATTAATAGCATTTTTTTAAGTATGTGCTCATCTGCAGTGCATTAATTGTGCTTTAATTATGATGGTTACTGTAAATGACTCCAGCTTAAAAGACATTGCTCTCCCCATAGCATATCCGTGTGGCCTTTTGTTGACAGAAACAGATGGCATTGTTCCCTACAGTTTTAGTCAGTTTCAAGTTCTCTTACCAGATGGTGGGGAAGAAAAAGTTAGATGTCCTGCTCCTTTGTCTAACGACCTAATACTGTAACAGTAATGAATGTCAGCCTATTCATTTGCCAAGCAGTAGAATGAAGAGGAGCTTATCAGAATATATTGGTCGTACCTCATCTTTCCACATTTGTGTTAATAACTTTCAAAAATCTATAAAATTGCTCATACTGCTCAGAATTCATATGTGCGATTTTATGCATGTGATTTAATGCAAAGAGCTGCACAGAGACATTCCCTTCCCCTGGTAACCACATACAGGAAATTCAGGTTAGAACACATAAAAACAGACATTCCCTCCCCGTTAAATACACATTAGGTATCTACATACTGTTTTTTTTTAGCTGTAGGTTATACATAATGTATGTGATTTTAGATCCACACTTTTTATTATTATATTTTTGTTGTCTTGCTCCTTAGCCTTGATGAATGGGGAGTTCTGAGCCCCTGAAATGCATTGGCTTTTCAATCAACCTCTTGATGCATAAAATAAAATCATACTAGCCTCATTCATTTTTTTGTGGCACTCCCCTTCTTTAAAATTTTTAAAGAGGGGAAAGATTACCTCATTAATGTTCCACTGTAGGGGATATGACTAAAGAAGTTTATCTTTAGTAGTCTTTTATGATTCTACAGTCACTCATCTGATGGGCGAGTACCATTATCATAATTTCAGGAAAGGGGAGTTATTGAATTTTGCATACAGAGGATGCTTTCAGGTATGTGGGGCAAATAGTAGGGTGCAATCACACCTGCAAATGCAGTCTGCCAGTGATCAGATGTGAGAACTCCAGCAGGGCTTACTGCGATTAGCTGCTAGTAGGCAGGCCCATTCAATGCAATTGGAGGCTGCTGGCTCTTGCAGCTAATCACACCCAATTGCATGTAATTTCTCAAGCAGCATCACATGGGAGTGATTGGCCCTGGAAGCAGGCATTCTGTGTCCAGAACCGATCGCTCCCATGTGATGATTGCTTGAGGAATTACATGTGAATGGGCACAATTAGCTGCGAGAGCCAGCAACCTCCTAATGATTACAAAGGGGTTTGAAATTGAAGTGCCACACTACTGCTAAGAAGTCCAGATACAACTTTATTCCATTAAAGGTCAGGAGTACATTTCAAAAAGTAGCCAACGTGTTTCTGGGGGGGTCTAAGTGCCCCTTCATCAGGGCTTGACTGACAATAAAGTAAACAACCAGAAGTGAACCAGACCTACAATTACATTTTTTCAGTGTGAATTAAATGCACAGGCCTAATCAGCAGCTGCCAAACAAGCTGCTGATTAGGCCTGTGTATTTAATTCACACTGAAAAAAATACCATTGTAGATCTAGTTTACTTCTGGTTTGTTCACTTTGTTGCCAGTCAGCCCTAATGAAGGGGGAACTTAGACCCTAGAAATGCATTGGAAACTTTTTTAATTGCACCCCTGAGCTTTAATGTAATAAAGTTGTAACTGGATCTCTTGGCAGTGGTGTGGCACTTTAATTTCACACAACAAGACAAGGAAACTGTGGAGATCCTTTGGGGTGTAGAAGCTACCTGCCCAGGAATCAGATCATTTACACCAACATTAATGCCTTAAATTAACAGTACCAGTAAAATAAACCTACAGGTCCAGCGCTATCTTTCCACTTTCCTCAGCTGATCACAATGGGGCTGCTTACTTGCAGCTAATCGTGGACACACCAGCTGCAGTTCTCGCAGGGTACAGTAGCAGGTGTGAATGCACCCTTATAGTGTATGCATACCTAAACTTTTTTGTAGTTTTGGATAGAGTAGAGAAGGGTTTATTTTAGCTGTCTATTTCCCTTTGGAGAGATTTCCCTTCTTTCCCTTCTTCCAGAGACATAACAAGAAGTAAGAAGAAATCTATAAAAAGTGAGGCAAATTTTTCACTAAGCCAGTTGTTTCCAGAATATCAAAACTGGAGGATTTACCCTCACCTTTTGTTGTGATAACAACTCTAAAATATTGGACTTCCCATCACTTTCTGTCTTAGTGACAGTGGGGCAAATAGAGAGGGTGAATCTTCCTAGCAGGGACCACTACAATTTAAAACACATTCACCAGGGAGATACGCCTGAAGTGAATAATTAGTAAATTAATTCACTGCGTTATAAACATACCCCTTAATGTCCACCCAGGAATGGTCTGCTTGGTACCCAGGCATGAACTAGTGCATTAGTATACAACATATATGTGACCATGATAGAAAAAAAAAAACTATTGTTCATATTTTTTTACTGTGTATCATAGATTAGTGTAGAATTCATGAAAAGCTGTATGAACTTTCTTCAAACTTGAAAATATAACATGCACAAAACAATTGGTTGCCAGTGTGCAAATCAATCCAAATATAATGGATAGTTTAGGTAGTTATTTTTGGTATTTAGGTAGTTATTTAGGTTTTGGTAAACCTAAAGGAGATTGTACAGAGACTGTATGATCAGAGTGTAAACCAGCCTTACAGGGTGAGGTGTGCAGCAGGAGAGACTGGAAAACATATGATTAAGCCGGCCATGGATGGATTGTTTTATTTTTTTTTCAGCCAGATCAGCCAGCTGGCCTGGAAAAAAAAAAAATGGATTCTTGCATCCACACATTCAAGATGGATGAAGGAATCCTTTCCGCTTTGCTTTTGTACTCTGACAGCGGGACTGCTTCTCTGTCAGAATACAGTAATCAGCGCTGCAGCTGATTGATTGAAACATTTCCAACATACCCATTAGAGAAAAGTTGATTGTTAGATCGTCTTCTCTCTAGCGGGAAAGGTCATAGATAGATCAAAATGGGCCAGTCCAAATTTGAATCCATCTATGGCCAGATTTAGGCTTTCATTGCTACTGAGCACATTGCATCACAATGAAGCAAAAATTTAATCCGCTGCATTTTTCTTTGGTACTATGCACTGTAGTGTATTACCACATGTTGCAGTGCACTGCAATGCAGGTGTGTTGGGGTGCCATTTAGAATGAATGGCATCATTGCACAACAACATTCATAACTCGCTTTACTGTGCCATGATTTAGACACGTGGCAACTTATGCATTGCTGCACCTCAATGTGGCACATAGATCCATAGGTTAAAAAAAATGTGAAAACATGGGGGAAATTTACTAAAACTGGAACATTCAGAACCTGGTTCAGCTGTGCAGTCAGTTGCACCAGATTTTGCATGCTCCAGTTTTAGTAAATCCCCATCACTGAATCCTGCAAGAATGCATATTAATTTTTAGAAACAATATCTGCTCCATCCCATTACAGACCTTGACACAACTTAGGTCTGTTTAGTTGTAAATCTAAATACACAGTGAACAGGTGTTTTTACATGGCCAGTAGTTGAATGGAGAACCCAAAAATTGCTATTGAACAAGGATCCTATAGTAACACTGTTGTCACATACCTTGGTTGGAGGCAGAGTGGACAAGAGGGCTTCCCTTACAGCTCTGCTCCGAGCACCCCTGAATTGTGGTGACAGAGATACAAGGCTCAAAGAAGCATGGGTTCCGGTAGCTTGATATCAGGTGACTGCCATCGTCAAGGACGTAATCAAGGAGAGCCTGGGTCATACACGGTGAGAGAGCATGGTCAGAAAGCAGGACAAGGTCAGTACCAGGGAAGCAGGCAGAGCAAGGTCCAGTAGCAGGCTGAAGTCAGCACGAGGGGATCAGGCAGAAAATACTCAGAGACAAGATGAGGTCAGAATCCAGAATTCACTGAGTGAGGTCAGGAAAAAGCTGGGTTAGAATATCAGTCAGCAAACGCAGGAACACCGGAACAAGGATCACAGGAAGCTGAAGAACATCCAGTGATTAGCACACTAATCTCCTTTAAATAGGCAGCTTGGCGCCAATGTGTGGAGACGTGTGCGCTAGTGAACACGTATGCATCTACGTATTACTGCACATTGGATATTAGTCCAAGCTCATCGGTGTGCTGGTAAATGTGCACGAGCATTAGCTGCATATTTTTTTGACAACTGTTCACTCTATGTCATTACAATTTCCCTTTATAATTATAGCTAAGGCCTCCCAAATTGTTTTGTCAGCAATGTTAAATCAGTCTAAGAAATCTAAACAGTTGTGTCCTCTTCTGAAGAGGAACTAACTAAAAATGTTACATGCTACAATCTTGCAATCCTACAATCAAGTGGTCTTGTTGAAATTAAATCAAATCAAACCCACTATCTTATATCTACATGTACACAGGTAGGATTCTATCATAATTTATCTATGCAATACAGTTCATGTGAACTTCGTGTATCAAGGCTAAATGACAGCTAAACCTTTCTTCTGACAACTTTAGTTCTCCTTCTTGTTATCATTATGAAGATGATGCTAAGACTTTTCAAAATCAGATAAGGTAAATTCTAGTGGATTCTGAAGAAGAGTTCCAGGAAGAATGTAAATCACTTAACGTTTCATGTTCAATCACGGAACATTCAAGGGACATTGCACCTATTCCAAATACAGAAGGTCCTACTGAATATACATAAACTGGGCTTTTTATAATCAGTTATAAGGGAAGATCAAGGATACTTGCCTCACTGGTGGATAGTGACTTCTATCATCTCTCTACAGCACCCAAAGTATCTTCAAGATAATTCCCCACTACTTGCAGTGGTACCACCCAAGGACCGCAACATCCCCACAGGATGCATTCTTGACAGAGCAGCAAGTGGGTGGAACATCAGTGCATATTTGGGAAACAAGCCTCTGACACACCTGGAAGTGTGTTGGATGCAGAAGATTCAGGTTCTGCAGCTTGTCAAAAGAAATAAGATAAGGGTCACAGCTCAATGAACCAGTCTGCACTCTTGATCTTCCTTTTCAAGATGCATTAAAAAAAGGGACATAGTCACTTTAAAGAGTGTCTCCGGGGAAGAAAAAAAACTCCCTTTGCAGTGAGGAGTCCCCTGCACTGCAGAGGGTTAAATTCTAATTTGTGCTTGGGGGAATAGGCAAATACACATTTTCTTACCTAACCCCCAACTGTAGCAATAGGTGGCACTGAAATCTTCTCCCTTAAGCTCCAGTCAGTGGGGTGTCCCCCTGTGTTCTCATGTACAAAGCAGGGCTTTTGGCCCTACATTGTACTTGATGATATCAGAAAGCCTGTGACCCCTGGAGTGTAAAGAAGTAGAGGCTGCAGAGATCTGGACTAGCAGCAAAAAGAGCCAAAGAGCCTGCGAAGGCAGAGGATCAGATAAGTAACAGTACTTTTTCCAGTTTCTCCAGACATAAATGAGCATCTTACCCCTGCAGTGCCCCACTACAGATAGATTTTCCCAGATGTCAAAAAATCCCTGCAAGCTGTAATATATACAATATATATATATATATATATATATATATATATATATATATATAAAATAACAGCTTAGTAAGTACAATTTGATTCACTCAGTTAATAATTAGCTTTTCTGTACCAAGGCAGTTAGACATTATCTATGATAACGATTAGGTAGACTGCATATTTCTGGCTGCTTCCCAGTTATACTGTGTCATAGCTATACAGATGAAAAAGCACAATAGTTTTAGCTTAATAATATGGACATCTTTTCTAATGTGGACAGGGCAGTGTAGGTGCATGTCAGTCCAAGAGATATCATTTAAGACACTGACTCACTCCTAAATGAATAAGAGCCTGTTTAATGGGCTTTTGCACCTGTGTCGAGGGCATCAGTTTAAGACAATTCTGAGATAATTCAAAGTTCGTTGATGAGGCATTTCCATTTTCCATAGGTAAAGTGTACTTATAGCCAATGTTAGTCTATTTTTTGCCATCTGTGTCCCTTGGGGAGATTTCCATTTCTTCATGTCCTAGGGATGCAACATGAAGCAAAACAATTGTCTACAAAGTGGAATTTCCCTCTTAGGGCTTATGAAAACAGGAGCTGACACCCATCCTGCATTTGGATCCATGAACCCACTTCTGCGTCCATGTGAAATTTTGACATGAGGCTGTGTCCGTGCAGCCACTGTGTCTGCATCCATTCCTGTAGGATGCCTGCATGCAGCTCAAGGTGAATACCGATGCAGAAAACAGTGACTAAGCACATGCAGGACAGGTGTCAGCACCCATCAAATTTTATCACAGGAACATGTGTCCCCATTGGAACAGTTATCTTTACTTCTTGTTCTGGTGAAAACTCCAAACATTTTTAATTCAATTTTCTGTGCCTGTGACAATGGCCACTGAGACAAAACAAAAGGAGAAAGTAAATATACCACGCAGGAAAAAAGACACCAATAAAAGCTTTACAGAGGTTATAATCATTCCCTACCCCAGTGGTGGCAAACCTATGGTAAGCGTGCCATAGAAGGCATGCAGAGAGCCCTCTTTGTCGGCATGTGAGCCAAGTTTCCCCAGCATCACCCCAGCAGCTGAGCATCAAATAACAGCGCACATAGGGACCATGCGCATACTCGTAAAGGAGTAGTGGTGCCAGGCGATGACGTCACGAGCTACAACTCATTAGCCGAGCTTTCGCATGGCTGGTCTGTGCGCTGGCAAGGATATATATATTGGACTGGCTGTGAGTTTTAATACATTCCTTTTTATTATTCATTTTTAGCTTGTGCTAGTGGTCAGTGAAACTTTGCACCCTTATGCTGGCGGTCAGTGGAACTTTGTCCCCTTGTGCTGGCAGTCAGTGGAACTTTGTCCCCTTGTGCTGATGGTCAGTGGAACTTTGCCCCCTTGTGCTGGTGGTCAGTGGAACTTTGCCCCCTTGTGCTGGCGGTCAGTAGAACTTTGCCCCCTTGTGCTGGTGGTCAGTGGAACTTTGCCCCCTTGTGCTGGTGGTCATTGGAACTTTGCCCCCTTGTGCTGGTGGTCAGTGGACCTTTCCCCCCTTGTGCTGGTGGTCAGTGGAACTTTTGCCCCCTTGTGCTGGTGGTCAGTGGAACTTTGTCCCCTTGTGCTGGCGGTCAGTGGAAGGAACTTTGTCCCCTTGTGCTGGCGGTCAGTGGAACTTTACCCCCTTGTGCTGGTGGTCATTGGAACTTCGCCCCCTTGTGCTGGTGGTCATTGGACCTTTTCCCCCTTGTGCTGATGGTCAGTGGAACTTTGCCCCCTTGTGCTGGTGTCAGTGGAACTTTTCCCCCCTTGTGCTGGCGGTCAGTGGAACTTTGTCCCCTTGTGCTGGTGTTCAGTGGAACTTTGCCCTCTTGTGCTGGTGGTCAGTAGAAGCTTTGTTATTGTTTCTCTTTTAAGACAAAATATGAGTTGTTTTTTTCTAAACTAAAACCTCAGTATTCAGGTTTAATTGCAGTGTTGGCACTTTGCGATAAATAAGCAGGTTTTGGGTTGCAGTTTGGGCACTCGATGTCTGAAAGGTTTGCCATTACTGCCCTACCCTATCCTAAAATACATACAAGTTTTCTTTTAAATACATTTTAACTGTATTTAGCATAAATGATCTATTATAGTATTAGTTATTATTTAAATTGAATAACTGCAAAAAATAGGTTTGTTTTGTATGTTTCTGAAGCAACAACATGATTGAATAGAATCTCATTGTATAGTAGATGATCCAGAGCGTCTTTACATAAGATTTAAAAAAAGTGGCAAGAACAACGCACATTTTTGCATGTCAGAGCCATAATGCAAAAAAGACTTTCTGGGTTGTTACTTACATAGATTCTTTCTTAGCTTCCTTCATTATTGGATAAAGGACAAGTCAACAATCTCCCTGTAAGCAACACTCTGTAATTAGTTTCAGTTATATTTTTCTTAATACATAAGTACCCTTTGTGCAATGTAATATTATTTATTGAGCTCCGCATCCCTTTATAAAATCCAGTAGTAGCCTAGAGTTTTATAGATATGGTTTTCAAACAATCCTTTGTGCTTTAAAACAACATAAACACTGACTGAATGTAAATATGACTTATTAATTACCTATAAAGACTTAATCCGATGCCATGATCCTTTTTCAACAGGTAGAACCTTTGAACCTGCCAGAATGGTTTTCTTAGTACACAAACTACTGCGTCACACAACATACACACAATAAGCCATGTAAACATTACTAGCATTGTCGTGAG